GTGTCATGGCAGCTCTTTATTGGGTTAATTTTTCATCTCCCCAGGAAGCTGATTGGGTGGCTGCTGGTAATTGTGACAGCTGTTGGAAAACATTAAGAGGATGCATAGCTCTCCTCGTGAAAGTCACTTTGTCTGGTTTTCTATCAAAACATCTATACTTCATTCGTCTGTATCACATACACGAAATTACACGTCAAGGGCATCTTGTAAAAACACAATGGGAAGAAGTAGCTTACATTTTTCTTTTGTCGATTTCAGAAGCAAAGATCAGCTCAACGTTTTATTTATTTTTCATTTAACCCTTTTGCACTCAAAAGCAAAGAAACAGCTACCACATTCAAGGAAAGCAGCAGGCTCGCAAATTACCCACTTTTCACCACCTCCCAGGGAGGTTAAATAACAGACATGGGACTCTTTCAAGGCTCCATAATTGGAATGAGTCCACTTTAAATCAATTAGCATCACCTTAAAGCACTCTGTTGCATTTTCTGTGCAGTAAAAAAAAAAAAAAAAGATGGGAATCAACCTTTGTCACCTTTGTCCCAAGTTAGCCCATTAGTCTTGGTGTATATTGAGTCATGCAGTACCCCTGAAACCAAGTGTTCACAGTGCCTGCACACTTCACACAATATGGGCATGTATTGAAAATACAGATATTACATGTTAAATTCATCATATGGGAATATAGTTTGACGTGTTTTCATTATCTCATGAAGACCAGAAAAGCACAATGTCCGGTTCCCCTATCAGTGAGACACACAGATATCAGGAAACAGCAGAGGACAAGTCAAATCAGATTTTTTTATACCTTACACAACAAAATCTAAATAGTTTCAGGTGGCTTTACCATCACTACAACATGCGATATCTGCTATGTTTGGCCCCATAGACTCAGATTCAAGAAATACAAAATTTATTCTATCCCCCCAGAGTAAGGACAGATAACACTGTCTGTCTGTTACCTGGAGGATGGACACCAGCATCAGAGAGAACAAATGTTTGTCTGTTGGGATGACTAGATACAAAACATCCTCCTCCAGGTTAGGTCATCAACATGCTCTTAAATCTGCTTATTTACAGCTATACGTTCCTACACCATAGTTTTGGATGTAGATGGTCACACAACACTGTGTTTAACTTGCTGAGTCTTTGTTGTATATATCAGCAGAGACACTTAAATTACCTTACTGCATGTATACACCTATGATGCAGTGGTTACAACTGCGATTTTCCTGCTTCCCTTCTGAGACACGGCTGGCTGTGTGCTGCATGTCTCATATATGTAAAGCCTAAAGTTCAGCCTTGAGGCCGTGGTAGTTCCCTGGGTTTGGTGTCTTGCTTCACATGGATTTTGTGCATGCTGGCATGTTTTCAAATCCCTGCAGAACTGAATCTGTTTTACTTATTTTTAAGTTCAAATGTGACTGGATAGACTTGTGTTTACTCGAGCAACACTGCAAACAGATCAGATAGGTCTGACAAGTTAATGAAAGTAGACAAATAAAATTCACTGGTTCACCTACTTTACCACCCCCCTATTTTAATAGATTCTGTAACTACATAAATTATAACAAATGCAACTGAATATCTCTTGTATGTAACACTCACACATCAGTGCACAGATGAATTAAGTTATGTATATTTGCACAAATTACTGAAACTAACAAAACCACATTCAGGAGGTAGCAACTACCAACAACCACCAATTGGTCTCAATCACTACTTTCAAGACTTATTGAACACAGAATGGTGTCCAGTTTGTAAATGATGGTCCATTTAGAGTAAAATAGATGAGGTATGTTAAGGAAAGGCTACATTTTGATCAACATATTGCTACTGTATCAGTATGCATCGTGTCCTCACGTTCTGCAGTCAGATCCACTGCATACTCAAAAGACCAAGAACGCAACATCTAAATGCGTAACTCGAGGGTTCGAAGCGTTCATCCACAAATTAATGGTTGAAATTACAGTCAGTATGTCAGTCTTTGATACACAGTACAAGGTTTCCACTTTGTCAATATGGGCATGCTAGACATGGTTAGATCGGATATATTCTCCACAATCCAACCACTCAATTCATTTTACAAAAACCATGAGCACCAAAGTACATTTCCTGCAACTAGTTAACAAACCAGATGAAAAAAACAATACGACTTCCTTTCCTAAGAAGTGATCATGATTTGTCTGATTCTGTTCAAATTTCTCAAACATTGGTATTTCTTTAGTCCCTGAGGGTTCACCAGCAAAGAGAATCAAGGAGAAGGATTTTTCATAAAAGTCGTGAATGTATTCGTCAAATAAAACAAAATGTCTTTGAATATGAAACATATTTCTCCTACTCTCTGTAAAGTGTTGTTGGGTATGCTGTTTCTTGTTGTTTGGCTGCCAGCATAATCAAAGTTTTAGTTTTCATTCCTGGTCATTTACAGTCAATCAGATTTGTCATGTAGCTTTGAGTGGTGATAGGGTGAGCTGTTATTGGCTGTCAGCATGGACATTATTCACAGTCCAGCCAGTGATTTCCTTGTTTAAACAGCAGTATGCATCAGTACTTTAGTTATGCATTTGAGCCAAGTTATTTCAGCACATATGGTGTGGTGTAAGTCCCTCCTTAAATGCAGTTGAAGGCAGGCAGTGTAATCAGCAGCAAGAGCAGTACACCTCAGCAATATCTGAATGACAGTAAAAGTTTTATGGTCATCAAATTGCTTCGGTGTGTTTTCTAGTGTCACAGACATAAATAAAAGCATTTGGCACAAGTGGGACATAACATGAGTTTCAGGGACACCAGTGACACTGCAGATTAAAAACGGCTCTAGCTGCTGTAATTTCAGGCCTAGCAGGCTGGGATTTCATCCAGCTGTTGTTGACATGGAAGGTTTTTGGTGAGGTGCATATGTGTGGCTTAAACTGTCTTAGTTATTGCTATTCAAATATGACTTAGAACAGACAAGGACAGAAAAAAAATCTAAATTTCAGAAACTAGAAGATGTTACTTTTCAAATAAAGTCTCACAAATGCATTTTTGCCTTACACTTCTCTTCTATTTGGTTATGCCAAATAAGCAAAAAATAAAGATAAAAAGGGTAGATGTGTAGAGGTTACTGAATGGGAACGTCATTTGGAGAAAGGGCTCACATGAATGTATTTCCCTGTTACTGTAGGAAAACTTTGCTGGTGTATCAGCTTTTTCCGTCCACCTGTCAGTTCTCAAAAAATAGCTTAGCACAATTCAGCAGTGCTTTCACATCTTCCAGCTTATTGCTTTGCTTTTATGACCTGCGACTGGTTTGATTCCCTTTCACCTCCGTGATCAGCATTGTTTCTCGAAGCAGCAGGTAGCCGCTGTGTGAAAAAGCTCTGATAAACCGCCAGTAAACAAAGATAGTAAAGTCAAAGTCAAACGTATTTCTAAAGCACATTCACAGAACAACAGGTGCTGAACCAAAGTGTTGTGGAATTAAAACAGCAAGCTGTAAAAGCAACAAATAAAAAACAAATGTAAATAAGGGAAAACAGTAAAAACATATTAAAAAATAAATAAGAAGTGCAAAAAATGACTACACAGTAAAAGATAAAGTCAGGTTGTCAAGCTCTGCTGCAGTCAAATACCAAAGAGAAGAGGTGGGTCTTCAGTTGCAGCTTAAAGTCGGAGCAGTTCTTACACAAAAAGGTGAACTGTTTCACAAATTAGGAGCAGCCACCGCAAAAGCTTAGTCACTTATATTTTTGTGCTTAGATCTCGAAACATCCAAGAGCATCTGGATGGTCGACCTCATTGCTCTAATGGGGATATGATGATGCATAAGTTCTGCTAAAAAGGATGATGCCAAGCCATTTAAATATTAACATCAATCCTGAAATGAACAGGAAGCTAATGGCAGGAGGCCAATGCTGGTGTTATTTGATCACGCTTTCTTTGCCCTGTTTGAAGACAGGAAGCTGCATTTTGTATCAGCTGCAGACACTGAAGAGACGAGTGCTCTCCACCCACATACAGTAGTCTAACTGGGTGGTAATTAGGGCATGAATAACACTGAGAGAGAGAGAGAGAGAGAGACAGGCCTTTACCTGTGCATAAAGTCTCAACTGAAAAAGATGGTTTTGACCTCTGAGCTGATCTGTTTATCAAATTTGAAGGAGCTGTCGAAGATCATTCCAAGGTTTTTCTCAAAAAAAATCAATTGCATGAAGCCAAAGGGCACAAGTGCTGTTAGGGTCATCCAAAGGGCCCGGTCTACCAAACATAATGATCTCAGTCTCATTTCCATCAAGACTGTGTGTTTAGATGTGGCTAGTTTTAAATCTTTTAAACAGTCCAGCAAAGGAGGTACTGAGTCTTTACTTTATATCATCATGGGCAGGTAGGTTGGAGCATTTAGCAGGAAAAAAAGACGACATCTCCCTCATGAAGTCGCCTAAACAGAGATAAATGAGAGTGAATGCTGGACTTACATTGATCAAGTGGTTAGAAACACAACTCCAAATAAATGTTTATGTTGCACAACCTCAGCAGAAGTTGTAAATACGCTGTTGCTCACATGTTTGCCATATCAACAATTGATTCTGCCATGGGCAAAATTTTATTTGCTGTGGCCGATTGAGCTGCTAAAAACCTCTGCTCAGGCGAAAACTAGTCTCCTGGGGATGCACAAACTCACGCATGCCAGTTGTACCAACCCTGAAAGAGTTTTTGACTCTGTTTTGATGTGTAAATGACTTTATATTATTTACATTTCCTGAAATCCTTGAAATATATTTTGTCAAATATCAATAATAAAATAAGTCGAAGGCTAAAGCATCATTATGAGATGATTCCTAAAAAAAAGCACCACACTTCAGCTCACATTTATGGCAAATGATGCTCAAGGCTGCCCCTATCAAAGAGGACCTCTCTCTGGGGGCATACCTTAATTGCCTGAAAGATTTTAATCATTTAATTTGTGATGCTAATGCCAGTGTTGATGAACCTTCATCGCTGTCTGTCTTAACTCCCAGTGCTGCTGCTGGGCATTTTCCTCTACACTCGCTGGAGATCATACAAAGGGCTGAAGGAGGGCGTTTACCACGTCTCTGCACATCACGACGGCTGGGAGGACATCCGAGAGAACGTCCTCAACTACGACGAGGAGGGAGGTGGAGAGGAGGACCAGGTACAACCCCCCAGACACACACGCCTGCATGCATAGCGTACCCTTTTCCTCTGAGGTAAAGGCAACAAAGGAAGTTACAAAGACAACTCTTGTGGGGCTGCACTTACTTTTATCCACTAGCACATTTAGAGCACTGTTAAAAGCCATAATATTGAACTATTCTAATGCTGCACTCCTGCTTGCATAAAGGTGAATTGTTTTTAACTGCAAAATTTTAATTTTAAAGGCTGTTATTACTTTTATTCTAGAAATGCAGCGCAGTGAATGCAAGCGCACAGCTTTATAGTGGATTCAGTAAATTCAATTTGGAATAAAATCCTGCACTGTGTGTGCTAGTGTTTTAATTAGGCCCACGCAAAATCCTTATCTCCTCTCTCCACCAGCCAATGTAACCCACAAGCACTCAACAGTACTTAAGAGCTTGCATAATATCACAGCTTTGATCGAAACAAACACATGTGGCTGCTGCATCGCTGAAACAAACGCAGTCTCTCTCACACACTAACACACACACACACACACACACAAAGTATTTAAAAAAAACACAACTTGCATATAGAGACTGTTGTCGCACCTTGTCTGTACCTCAGGCCCTTCAAGATTTTGTCCTTCATACTGTATCACCTGCCGTCAAACACAAACCAGACACACACACACAGTCCTGATGCCCTATACACAACAAATGCTGCTTTTAATTCTCAAGAGTCTTGTCTGAAATCTGTCTGGAGGAATAAAAAAACAGCACTTTCCACTCATCACATAATCAGTTTTGCAAAGCGACCCACTCCTCTTCCATGTGCATCATTTCTTCCTCCTCCTCCTCCTCCTACATCTTTTTTTTTTTTTTTTCATCTCTGCTGCCCTGGTTACAGTTTTGGTGGAATAACATTAGTACTGAAGTGACTGGCTGATACAGTATTTGTCAAAGTAAAGGCAGCTGCTAAACCCCAGTGCACCAGTGTGTAATGGATAGAAAGAGAGAAGCCTCTCATCTCCTTTCTGAATCACCTCCACTCATATTTTTGTCTACTTGGCTGCACACAGACGCACACACAGATTCTTAAAATTACGACTTTTCGGAGACAGCAAATGGAGATAGATTGGAAACTTAAACAGGTGGAACATTCACAGTAAGTGTAAAAGGGAGAGCTGATTGTTTTTCTGCTCTCTTTTCATTTTTCTGCTTTTTCAATGTCACATTTCATTTTTTACTTCCCCGTCTCTCTCCTCCAAACATGCAGTCTTTCAGTCTGGCTTCTGTTTGCTCTCGTCTCTCTCTCTCTCTTTTTTTTTTTTTTTTTTGTTTTTGTGCTAACTGGGACTTTTAATCTGCTTTTGGGAAAATATCCACAATTCTATGTGTGTGTGTGTTTGTGTGTGTCCAGAATGCCTACGACATGGCAGAGCTGCAGAAGTCCCTCCAGCCGAGCCCGGCCCAGTCAGTCCAGTACTGTCGCTCCAGAGCCCTGCACCATCCTCCTCCTCCCCACCATCACCTCCTCCACCAGGCGCCCCCAATCCCACCCTCTGCCCAGCCCCTGGATCCCCTCAGCCGGACAGCCAGCTCCACAACCCTGCCCCCCTCAGCGGCATCCACTTCCTCCACCGCAACCACCACCACCAGTCTCCGCAGAGATGTCCCCCCCACCAGGCTTCCAGCCCAGGGCCAGGCGCGCCCCTCCCAACTGGCACGTCGCTCCCTTTCCTTCTCCAGCCAGGATCTGGCCCGCTACCTGTGTGAGATCATCCGTGACGCTGACCAGCATCCGGACACGGGACCTTTTGACTCTCTGCAGGTGTTCTCCACCGAGGGAGGGGGCTCGCCCGCCGGCTCCCTCAGCTCCTTCAGTTCGGCAGGACTGGATGGAGGGAGTGGTGGAGATGGGGGAGGGGAACCGAGGAGAGAGGAGACGCTTGGGGAGTGGGGGCCTCGCTTTGAGAAGCTGCGGGCGCTGTATGAGCGAGCTGAGGCCAGCGACCTCTGAGCACACAGACCAAACTGATTGGACCCTGATAACGGGCCCCCTCCCCCCAAAACAATCAATTAGCAGACGCTTATCGGCAAACGAGGTGGAAAACAGCGAGAGACTGACTGTCAGAGAGACTCGCTCCACACCCAGCACTGACAGCTGACACTAAAGGTGTTGTATTTAGTGGATGATGAGCCCCGTCAATCAACACGGTGGCCTAACAGACAGATGAAAGTGTCCCTTTGAAAAGAGCCTGTCGCTCTGCACCCCCACCACCTTGGATGAGAATTTGGCAGGAGCAGATAGTATCAAACCTAGAAGTCAGGTTAAAAGGCTTCAGAACGTCACTCTCTACCTGGGCTACTCATCATGATGGAGCTTAGCTTCGCTGTCAGAAAAATCTGTTCCAGTCACTGACACTAAATCCCCAAATTTCCTGTGCTGTGGATGAGTGTCAGCTGAAGGCAAATGAAATTGTTTTGTCCAGGTTTTTGGGTTTTTTTTATACCTAAGTACATCAATGCCACTTAAACATACTTTAAGCACCTTGCTGCTGAATTAAATCTTTGTAAATAAAGAATTCTTGAATATGTTCCACAGTGCGCTGTAACATGATAGGGCAGTGAAGATGAGTGGGATCATACTGAGTAGCCCATATGAAACAGAGGTTGGATTTTCACAATAGTGGACACATTGTGTTCTTGCTGCCTGGCTGTACACAGCTTCTGTCAATGTTTGTATGAGAAAAAAAGTGCTTCGACCATCGCTGGTTTCCAGGGTGAGATTTAAATTTTTTATTTGATTTTATTTTATTTTTTTGGTAATGTGTCTTTACTTGGGTTGAGTAATTCTGTATTGGTTGGATGTTTCAAGTTTCAACGCTCCGTGGGTTGTAAAACATCAAGCTTTCTACTTAGTACTGTGCCCGCATCTTCATTTGATTTCCTATTCTCATTCGCGCTCCTCCGCTGCTCATTCCTCCTCACCCGAGGGAGGGTGCACAAAAATTCAGACAGCTTTGTAACAAAGAAATGTGAGTGGACGTGTTGACTGCGGGAGGGAGGAAATACTTGCTCTGTTGCTCTGTTCTGCGTACGCCTTCCTCAGGCACACCAAATGTGGCAGCTGCAAGAGACTATTTTAACAGACGATTGCTCGGTAGAATACAAACTATGTCAAGCTGCTTTCCAAGGTGACTACTTAATAAATATAAACGGGGGGGAGGAGAAGGATGATGGATATTTGTTGGATTATGCATATACACTGATCAGCCACAGCAGTAAAACTACTGACAGAAAACTACTGACAAGTGACATGAATGACATTGATCATGTTGCTGCAACACAATGTTCTGTTGGGAAATCTTGGATCTTGGCATTTATGTAGATGTTACTTTAACACGTAGCACCCACCTAAACATTGTTTGCAGACCAAGCACACCCTCCATGGCAACACAACTCCTCGGCAGCTCAAGACTGGTTCATGTAAAACGACAAAGAGCCCAAGGCATGGACACAGCAACCAAACTCCCCAGATCCCAGTCTGATCAAGCATTCGCAGAATGCAACAGAACAAATCCAGTCCATGGAGTCTCCACCCCACAACCCACATTACCCAAAGGATCAGGTGGTAGACAGAGGCAGTCTTGTCTTCTTAAACTTAGCTCCTATGCAACTAAACTGCATCATCGATTATGTTTTCAGAGAAACACGTTCTTCCAGATTACATGTGTTTTTGATGTATCACTGATATATTTTAAACAACCTCTCTTTGCAATGTACTCAAGTACTTTACTGTTGCTCCTTTTCAGTCAAACTAATCGTGTTTTAGATGGAGCAGGACTCATCTCCCTGGTACCCCAGAAAATGGAGAAGAAGCTTGTAAAAGGGTTGCATTTTAACCCAAACTGTGTTTTACTCATGTTGTTTCGGTGCCTAAATGTAACCCACCTAACTCAAGACACATATGGTTTACAAACCTCGGACTACTGGGGTTAGCGTCCTGTTGCTGACTGTCTCCATCCTACCATCTTAAACACTTGAACTTTGTAGCTCTTTTAAACTCTAAGTCTGTCCTACTATGTCACAGTTTTTTTTATTGGTGGGATAATACACCAAAGTTTCTTTCAAAAAATAATTGAGAATGCAGTTTAGAATGTCATTTTTGGAAGACTGATATGGACACAGGACACCCCTCAAAGGACTCATGTCCATGCTTTGGCATGTCAGAGCTGCTTTGGCAGCATGAAGGGGACCAATATGTATACATATATGAGCTTTGGTCTGTGAAACCTTTGCAAAATACCCTTCACATTCATCTTTTGTTCCTTACAAAATTAGCACATAGTCTTGGCTGAAACAGTACAGTGGGGGATGTGGGGAAACAGACTAATAAAACATGCAGGAAACTAATAATTGTGCAGTTATTATCCAAACTGAAGTGTCAGCACAGTGGCAATTCCCACCAGCTTCTCTTGTTTGACTTTCTTGTGACATCAGGTCGATGAATCTGTTTCCCTCCTCTCAATGTACAGAAAACCAAAACAAACAAACCTTGTTGTTCTAGGGAGAGTGATTTGTCTAAAAGGAACGAAAGGGCAAAGAACAACAATGAAGCTGCAAAGGGGAAGATTGTGCAGGGTCTAAAAAAAGGAGCTGTTCTTCTCACCTATGATATGAGAGATGATTACAGAGTGGAGGGTTGATTCGGAGAGCAAATGAGGTGGGGGGGAGGCAGAGAGTGCTTGGCTCTGTGGTGAAATGTCTCACCAGTGCACCATAGAGCTGCAGGGAGCTGTAGAGGGACGAGATGCTGAAAGCAGTGGTTTTTTTTTCCCCAGTTGAAACAGTTTGCTGCACAGCAAATGGCATAAATACAAAAGTCGACAACTCTCCAAAAAATAGTCTGGCTTCTCCTGGCATTTCAGGCGCAGCATTCTGCTGGAAGTAGCAGCGGCGCTCTCATCATGCTTTTTTTTTTTTTTCTATTCGTCTTCACGCTGGCAGAGCTGCGCCTGTCGGCAGTTAAAGGGTAGGAGAGTGTGAAAACATGTCAGGCCACTAATCCTAATAGGAGCTGATGGCTTGCTGTCATGCTGGAAAAACCAAAGGATTGCGTGGACTTTCAAAAAAGTCGACAGAGGAGTCGATTCCCAGATTGCAGCTTTGCAGAAACATGTTATTTTCTGAATAGCTGAGGCAACAATGCAGCTCTTAAAATTAAGAAACTTGGCTGTCAGGCGAGGATGCCTGTACACTGTAGAATGATGCCTGAAAGTAAGACACAGGCTTTACTTTTTTTTTCTTTTTTTTTTTTCTTAGACCGTGGGGATTTCCTAGAGAGGGATGCTTGTATTTTATTCCTCTGTAGAGGGGCCGAGCCTGAGCCACACAGAGAGGTGAAGGATGAAGATGCTTAATGCTTCACTTCTCTCTCTGCAGCTGTACGGAGCAGCGATTCACTTCCCACCACCATTCATTTGTATCATAAAACGGCTTCTTAAATGTTGTGTTCTGGGTGCAGACATGTCGTGAACAAAGTTGATGTTTTTACCTCATTTGTAAATACAGAGATAGATGAATTACAATTATTGCTTTTTGTCAAGAAAAGCAGCATAGGTTTAAAAGGCGCAGCTTCTGAGAAAAAAAATCAAACCGAACATATTTTTTATCAACATGATGGTGATGAGCTTTTGACAGTTATATAAGTGTTTTGTATTTGCTTTGATCTTTTTTCTCAATAAATTCATTTATTTGCACCAGTGACTGTGTTGACTCATGACTGTGTCTGAAATAAGATGGAAAATGAAGGATGTGGCCTCACAGAATGATAGACACAGAAACATTGTTGAGGAGGAAAAAAAAAGAAAAACTTTTATTGATCATACTGCCATTGAACACAAATGTGTCTAACAATATCTAAACTGGCATCTCGTGTATCTTTCTACCAATAATGTGCTCGGCATGAGAAGGACTTTGAACTGCAGAATAAACGTTTACTAGTTTATATGATTTCTCATATGACAAATGTCCTGCAGTAGAAAACTCAGCTGTATAACATGACTTTATTGGATTTGTAGAAAAGTAATTACGAGCAAAATGGGGAAAGAAATGACCAAAGGCACCCAATACATACTACAACATGTCTTTTTTACAAACAGAAGAAGATGGATTTCACTGCTGACAGAATAAAGGCGCACATGTAACGGTGCTCGTGCTGAAGATGTTCATGTTCAGGGTCACAAGCTGCTCTTAAGCTATTATGGAGCCATTAGAGTGCATCGGTTTATCTCAGCCTGCACTCAAGAGTAGCTCGTCCAATCAAAATGTACAAAGAACCTCCTTTAGAGAAAAAGCCTGTCAAGTTCTGCTGTACCCGTGTGTGCACAGCATTTAGTGATCTCTTAACACACATGCTATTTACACTCCATTTAGAAATTTCACATCATAAATAGTTTGTATGTATTTACATGGCACTGGCTCAGAAAAATACATCTGTTTAGTTGCTTGCTGAGAATGTCAGATAAATAACTTCATCTTTTTTTTTTTCTTCCCACAAGCTTCAGCACCAACATGCCCCCCCCCCCCAAACTCTTAACAAAACCACATGTAAGCTGAATAATAAATTTGGCACATGAGAAATGTGGCATTCTAAAGCATTTCAGTCTGTTTTTCCTTCTATTAGTGTCAAGCATTACTCAGGATTTTCTCACGCTTCCCCCCATTAGGATGCTGAATGATTCCAATGATGTAATAATGTAAATGTGATAAATATCCAGCAAACACCATTAAATATCCAAAATACACACAGGACGTATTTCTGCTCCACAGCCTGTGTAAATGGTGTACGCCTACAGAGAGCAATGACCTAAACCCCATCTAACATCTTTAGGAGGAACTTAAGTGGCGTCTTGGAGCCATCAGACATACAATCAGTGTCCGACCTCACTATCGCTCTTATGGCTGAATGGGATCAAATCTCTCCAGTTTCCAAAACACGAGTGAAAAGCTTTCCCAGAAGAGGGAATTTACTTTCAAGATCTTGAGATTACGTGTTCAGCAATTATGTATGGGTGCAACGGAGCATGGCCGTTTAATTGTTGAGCTTGGAAACAGGACTGCAGCTGAATTTGTTGCAAATCATCACAAAGGTAGATTTGTAAACGCAAATAATAAGCAAACTAATCGTTAAATCCAGCCGTCTGCTTATTATGTATCTCAAATTTATTTCAGCAACATCCACAAATTCTTTGAAACAGAGCAGAATTCCATATGTGCGCACAGATTTACGGCTGCCTCCATCTCCTCTTCATTAAGGAAACCATAGGCAGACAGCGTGCCTCCGAATGAACTACTAATCCCAATATGTATGTAAATTAACAGTGCAGAAAAAAATATTACATTAGTACACTCTTATTAGGCAAACATAATGGAATCACTTCGCTCTCAAATAAAGCAATCAGACATCTCCTAAATTAAACATCCAATATGAGGGCGGGAGGGGGAAGAACAAGCGGTGCTGTTCCACACTGATCCGATTGGTATGCAATTACAATGAGGCTGCGCGGTTAACGAACAACACGTTTTTTCAAAAGCCCTGCAACTGCCATGTGCAGGGGTGTTCACGCATCTGCCAGTGTGTGGATTATCAAAGACAGAGGTCCCTATTAACAAGTGTACAAATATAGGCAAACTGAGATGAGAAGAAGGAGGGCAAATCGGGTGCGTATTGTATCCACATAATGGTTGAGCGTCTCACTAGCCAACTAATAATTACCTATGCAGAAAGAAGAGAAAAGGAAATGAGGAAGGGGTTCAGATCATTGTGAATCTGTGTTTTGATGCACTCTCATTTCTCCTCTGCTGCTGTTTAAACATAAGCCTTTTCTGTCCTCCGCACTCCTCCTCCCCACTTTCTCTTCTAACCACAAAGCCTCAGTTTGATATGCAAGTGTTGGCCCCCTCTCTCTCTCTCTCTCTCTCTCTCAAACTATTTTGGATTGCGGCAGGGAATCAGCGCTGTTGTCAGCTTGCTGCAATTTCCTCGCCACTTACATTATTCATGTGTGTTTGTAGCTGTGTGTGTGCGTGAGAGCGAGAAGAGTGAAAAGGTTGAGACTGCTGCTGATGAGAATCACAGAGCCGACAGAAAGAAAAACATGACAGCAATCACAACGACGACACGGTCACAAATATCACTTGGTACCAGCTTTGACCTCAGTTTTACAGCAAAAGCACATTTAAGTACCCGAGCGGGAATCGAAACTAACATAGTTATCTTCCCTTTTCTTTGCAGTGGTAATTGATAACATTTATCACCGCGGCCGAATGTGCCCTGCCAAAAAGTGACAACATCGGAGTCCGGGGTGAGCCAAGCTAATGGTCCGACTTATTCAGTGGGGCTTTCCCCCCCCCACATATGCCACAGTTGAGTAATACTTCCACCCTGCAACCTTCCTGCTACTGTTATCATGAACTCCACAAGCGGGTCAAGGGTGATGCTTAAATATCAAATGATGTCCAAAAGTGCTGCAGATGAACTCATGACGGCCCGGTGACACCAGCCATTTGGGGGGGGTAGAAGTATTTCCTGTCAGCAGGACTGCTGTAATCTGTTAATTTGCCTGCAGGTGTGGAGCTGATCCATGTTACAAAAATGTGCACTTCTGACCAGCTTGTCATGCTCCTGCTGACTTTAGGCGGCAACGGAGAGCGAGATTCGTAAGAGGAAGCTGTGGCGGCTTATTATTAGCTGTGCGGCACCATCGAGTTTCAATTACTTTCCTCTTTAGAAGTAAAAACTGCCAGGATGGATTGGTTTTCAAAATTATGAGACAAGTAGTTCTACATAGCCAGAAATATCTCCACAGTGCTGTGTCACTGCTGGGGAATAGTCTGACTGCACCTCATTATCATTTTGCACTCTGGCTTGTATGTATTTCTTTAAACCAATTACAACTGTATTGGCAGAGCTAAGAATAGGATGTCGTGAATTGCTTTTCGGTTAACTTTTGCATGCATGGAGGGAAGGACTGTCATTAAAATTAGCTCTTTCACCAAGAAACTAGCATGGCTGCTTCACTGCACAATCCAAATCCTCGGCAAAACTTCAAATGTTCAGTTTCATAGGTTGCTACCAGGAGGTTGTTGTTTCCCACAGCGAAGGGGATTTTAAAAAGATAGATAGTCGAAGGCGTAGAGAAAGCTGTGTGAAAAGGCAGACCTATACCTGCAGTCTACATCTGGTGAATCAGAGTATGCTTTTGCTGACCTTTAGGGAAACAGAGGGCACGAGTTCTAAATGGAGGAAGGAGCAGTAGGTTATTATGAGTTGTGCAGCACCTCAAACATTCATTAAATCTGATCTTTTGAAGTAACTAACAGAGAGGGGAAAGATTTGCAGAAAGTTCTGATAAAAAAAAAGGTCCCACATCTCCACATCTCTGTGTCAGTGCTGGAGAATGGTGTGCTGCCGGTTAGTTCGCCAGCAGAAACAGTTCATCAGCTCGTCCTTTGAATGGCACCAAGCAGCTAGAACCAAATATTTCAGACTTAAGGTGAATTAATTTTCTGGTGTGACCGGGCCTTAACAGCTCCTAAGACTTCATACAGACATCTATTCCCTATGAGCTGAGTCATCCACTAATATGACAAAAAGCAGTGGAAAGGCTCATTAAATGCACCTTGAGAAATAGGACAGAGAACTGGATAGGAATGGTGTAGCTCAAGAAGGAAATAATTTGCTGCCCAATTAGAAAAATCAAGCTCTAGGTCATTTCTCATTAGATCTACATGATCTCTAAAAAATACATTCTAACAATTGCTTTACCCCTTTACTTATTCAGTGTTATTTTTTAAATGTTGTCCATATTTAAACAGATCCCATTGCTTCAGCTCAAATGAGCACTGTACAAAAATAGCACATTCAAAAATGTGCACTTTCATGTTATCTGGATATCTTATTTTACCGCTAATGTCTACCGATGTCTACCTCTATCCTGATTTACAACCGACATAAGTCAGACCTGCAGTGGCAATTTGAACTTTCAAAAACCTATTATGCTAATAAAAAGAACTCAGACTTCAGGCTAGTTCATGGTTTCTGCATAACCGATGCAGAAACACATCTGGGGATCCTGTGAATGTTCCTGAAAGGCTGATAAAGAAGTTAGTTACAGACTGTATTAGTGTGAATAATCCCGAAATAGCACAGGATTTCTGGAGAGTTAAGAACTTCCTAATGTGTTTGGGAACCACTGGTGGTACGAACATACAAAGTAAAGCACCACCAAAGTCATGCAGCCCCGACTTCAATACTAATTCTTCCAATGATGAATTATAAAGGTGTGGAAGACGGAGCATCTTCTGGTACAGTCTGTCCACAAAACAACCATCTGTTTTAAGCACCACTTGTTTTCCTGGAACATGTGCAGCTGGTGCAGTTGAATTGTGGACAGTCTTGGCTGGATGCTGAAAGGTACGTCACATATACTCTTGTTCACATGCAGATGGGGAAAGAATACTTTGGCCTTTATGGTTAAGTTCCAATAGCTGGTTTGGGAACCATTTTGGATCTGGCTGTACATTGGTTCAAATAGAATCCATTGACAGATCTTTTATTCCTATCCCTGTTTTCATTGGCAAGGATGAACTCAAAAGCAAATATGAACTGAACTGTTTTTCTGAATCGTGTATTAAATACTTCAGTATCAATCTTTGACTTTAACTTTCGAATGTTATTTAGAGATATATTTTTTTGGGGACAAGTGGAGACAAAACAGCCTGAAGCATGACTCCTACAGGTGCTCCCACACCCTGCTAACTAAAACATTGCAGCCTCAAGCTTTCACTGACCCACTGCTTCAACACCACAGTTCATAGAGCCACGTGTTAAAAAAAATAATAGGCATGATCACAGCTGGGCGCAGTGCAGAGAGGAGACAGAGGAACAGCAAGGATTCAGTGTTTCATTTCTTCTCCTGCCCCTTCTCACTCCCCTCTGGCCTCTGCTGGGGCTTTTCTTGCAGCCCTGATCCTGCTACTGAGTCACGCTGGGCTCTGATGAGCCCTTGGCACTTTTCTTGCGTTTCTTCTTGATCCGGTACACATGGAAGGTTTTGTTCTGGAATGTTCTGGTGAACAGAGCGGTGTAAGATGCTGTGTCTGTCTTGATGGCCTCACAAAACCGAGGGTGGGTGGCAGGAATGAGGTCTGGGTCATCCTCTCCGGGTCCGTCCATGATCTGTTAACAGAACAGGCTTGTCATCACCATCATCAGCAGCAGTGAGAGTGAATGAAAGAAGGTGATCGCTAATGTATATTGTTAAAGTCAACATGTTTTAATCGGCACATCGTCAACTCATTTGAGATTTAGAGAAGTAAACACCGCTAACAGGGTCATCAACAGCCTCTTACAGGCTCTGATTTCACTTTGCACTGCTGCCAGCTAGATCTGGCACAAACTCTGCTTTAGTGCAATAAGAAGCACAGAGCCTAAATAATTCTGAATCTTCATAAATATACTGTTTTGGGATTACTGAATGCCTATGCTCATAAAAAGCTGCCAAAGTATGCTTAACTTGGCAGATTAAGAAACGGTAATTGTACAGATGCAACATGTCTAAACTGCATACTTTAACTACATATGAGGATGGTGGGTTGAAGGACAGCTTTTCTTGGAAATACTGAACCTAAAAAGAAACAAACAAAAACACATTAAAAAAAAAAAAAAAGTTTACTGAAAGCCGTATTAAAAGCCAATACAATGTTTTCTTAACCTCTAATAACTACGACTATGCAATTTTCTGGAGAGTTGCAACACTCTTCTGCATGAGTGATTTCTGTAATTTGTGCTCTATTGTTGCTCCTTTCACTGTTTTAAAAAGAGTTGGGTGAAAGTTTTGGATACTAAGCTTTGAAAGAATAATCACAACCATTATGCAACTGTTGCTTATTAAATGATGAATACATTTATAGATAAATACTATAATATGCTACATTTTCCAGACCTTTAATAATGCACTGGGCCTTGTACTTTGATAAATAAAAAGCCGTTTGTATCGTTACATTTACTTCTACAACGACTACCCCAACCAAAGAAAGGAATACATGAAGAATCCTAAGGGTTGGTGTCTGGATGCAAATCATTACATCTACCCAGAGAGTGGAGCAGGATAGACCAGTATCATCCCAAACAGCAATTGAAGGGGATACTATATGCAGTATGTCACAAAAGTGAGTACTCACTTTTGTTGCCAGTGGTTTAGACGTTACTGGCTGTGTGTTGTGTTATTTTGAAGGGACAGTAAATTTACACTGTTATACAAGCTGTACACTGACTACTTTACACTGTAGCAAAGTGTCATTTCTTCAGCGTTGTCCCATGAAAATATATGATAATTTAGGTTTTTTTTCCCGTTTTTTTTTTTGGCCTTTGTGCTTTTATTGGATAGTGCAGTGAGAGAAAGACAGGAAAGTGGGGGAGGAGAATGGGGGTAGGACGTGTGGGAAAGGGCCATGAGCAGGATTCAAACTCATGACCTCCACATCGGGACTGTGGCCCTGCATATGGGACACCAGCTCAACCAGGTGAGCTATAGTGGCGCCCCAATGATAAAATATTTTAAATATTATTTCACACCCCAGGTACAGCCTGCTCTCACTGTTGCCCTCAGGAAAGAGGTACCGATCCATCAAGGCCCGCACATTCAGACTCACCAACACGTTCTACCCAAGTGCAATATGGGTACTGAACTCACACTAGTGTATAGTCTGTACTATTTATACACATACATTTATTATTTATACTACACTATGCTATATATACTATATTATAATTATGTTTTAATTATTATATATTATACTATTCTATACTTTGTATATATATTTTATATATATATTATATTACTTATAATAATTCTTTATTTATATTATTTAGATTTCTCACATATTCAGTGTTCCTACCTCAACAGTGCAATATATTTATTCTACCTTTTGACGAACTGTATATACTTCCTACTGGCTCTTTTTTTAAATATATGTATATATTCTTATTTGTCTTTTTATACTTTTACTTTCATACTTTTGCACCACTGGAGATGTCTTTTAATTTTGTTCTACTTTGTGTATGATGACGATAAAAGCATTCTATTCTATTCTATTCTATTCTATTCTATTCTGTTGTATTCTATTCCATTCTATTCTATTCTATTCTATTCTATTCTATATGTACTCACTTTTGTGACATACTGTAAAAAGCTTTTATATTTTACATAAATACCATATCGTAGGGGGGGTCCTGATCTGATCTCAAAGATTAGGAATGCAATCCTTTGTTTACCTGCACATTTGTAGGAGGACATTAGGGATGCAAATTTTGTACAGTTTTCTAAATCATTTATCGGTCGTGTTATCAATCAATAATGGATTATGTCAACAGACATATGATAGGTGCCACGAAGACAGCTCTGTTAAATATGGGACATATGAACAGTGTCCTAGATGACCTTAAACACGTTAGCTGGAGGTCACTAACTGTCACAGAAGTCTTTGTTTTGGTGCTAGCTAAACCTCACACAGTGCCATCTGCTACAGCACCAAACAACAAGAGGCTCCATCTAGTAGAGCAACCAGGTACTGGAGCTCATCTACAATACATTTTTGTGATATGCATGCACAGAATACAGGTTTTCACCGTCTTTTAGAGGTTGTTGAGTCACGCTACACTCGACCTCCGTCACACTACATTTCAAACAGTGCCCTACCGGAGCTTTACAACAAAGTTCATGACCATCAGTGTAACACTACGGAACAGCTTGTATGCTGAAAAGCAATTTTTATTCTCAATGCACTGCAGAGCTTTTCAGTTGTTCAATTATCAACCCAGATAATGGTCTTGGATTGGCACTGGGTATTGCTAGATATTAAATATGAAATCACTTGGATCAGATCAGGGACAGAAAAACTTGATCATGTCATCCTGACCATATATTAAACTGTTTATAATATTAATGAAACCTTCGGGTTTCACAAAAGTTGTGGGCAACTGAAGACAACAGGACAAAAAAAATAAATAAATAAAATGACTATATCAAAGAAAAAAACAAGAAGAAAGAGAAAGAAAAATAGCACACAAACAAAACAACTAAAGAACTAAATAAAAGAAAGTGGGAGAAGAAAGGGACAGACAAAAACGGACGTAAAGCCTGCATTCCTTCAATAAAGCTGTCTAGATGTCAGATGTAGTGTATGCTGTGTGACATTTACGCCGTCACAAACACAAACACACACTGACTCTGTGTTTCAGCGTTTCATGTGTCGTACACCACACTGGGCCAGACTGAGGCTTGTCTCGCCTCTGGTAATCCAAATAGCCAGCAAGCCACATCCGACATCAAAATAAAGAGAGGCCCAGGGAGTGGGATGGGGGTGGGAGTGAAGGAGCGAGCGACAGCAAGAGAGTGAGAGACAGTGACGCACAGATAAGAAGAAGTGAGACTATTGATCTCTCTGCGGAGGCTGAGAGCTTTCACCAAGTCACAGAAGTTGGCAGAGCAGACAGCACATGCAGTCACACACACTCTCTCACACACACACACACACACACAGAGTCACCGTGAGTCATGTTAAATAAATGCCACCCACATGTCCGTTGGCCAGGTCGAGCAGGTCCCGCAGTCTGCAGCCTCGCCTGTGCCTCCGCTCGTAACAGATGCTGTTTTCCAGTACCACATAGTCGGCTCCAACAGCCCTCAGGATGTCATAGACTTCCTCCGGGGACCGGCGAGCGTACACTTGATACACCTGCGTGGACACACACACACACACACACACAAACACACGCATGCACACGCACGCACACGCACGCACACGCACACACAGGAAATAGCAGATTTATTTAGGGTGATATGGATTTATAATTGCTTTCTTTCTCTCCTGGAACTCAATTACCAGGCACATTTATTTTCTGAATTACAGTTTGATGAAAGTTGGTTTAGTTTCAATTATAACATGTTTACTGAATGAAAAAAATCTGAATGAAAACAATTATGGGCAAAATAAAAATCAGTGGGAGAACAAAAACAAAAGTTTGAAACATAACAAATCTGAGCTTTCTAGAACTCTTCTTCATTGTTTTTGTGCAGCAAAGAACAAACAACACTAAGCACAATAAATGGACACACTATTCAACTTACAAGTACCTTACACATTTTTTAAATTGGGTTAAATGAATGTTGAAACACTAAAGTGACAATTCAACCAAGTTTCTACACCAACTGACCTCACCTGTGACTGAAACCACTCCATATCTTCTGAGTATTGCACTGAAGCACCACTTAACAGTTTGTTTGAATGTCTGGTATAAAATACACACTACATTGTGCAATCAACTATGATGTCATGAAAAAAAAAGACTGTCCACATCTTGTACACTGTTTCACTGTTTCATTACAATCCCTGACACTATAGATCCATGAAGAATGATGAGGTTTCAGTGGTGCAATTAAAACACATAATTTTCCTTGTGAAAATGATGGTCAAAAGGGGTGGATATTCAGATCACATAGGAAATAGAAAGTTTTAAAATTTAGAGCGTGGTATTATTATTATTATTTTTGGCCTTTTTTCCTTTATTTGATAGTGCAGTGAGAGAGAGACAGGAAAGTGGGGGAGAAGAATGGGGGTAGGACCTGTGGAAAAAGGCCATGAGCGGGATTTAAACTGATGACCTCCACATCAGGGACTGTAGCCCCTATATATGGGATGCCAGCTCAAGCAGGTGAGCTATAGCGGGACCCCAGAGCGTGGTATTTTTGTAAACCTACCATTATTATCATAAAGCTCAGTTCCTTTCAAAAAGTCTTAGAATTTGATTTGACTACAAACCGAGATGCTCATTTAAATAACAAGACCTTTTTTTGTGTGTTGAGTTTCTATTTCACACATCAGTGTCACACTGGATTGTCATTCCTGATTACAATTTTCTGTGGTTCCCTGAACACCTCACATGTATCAGGACAACTGTGCACCGAGAAGCCTCTAGTCCCCCCTCAGTTACTGCAGCAGATGCAATTTAGACAAGTTTGTGGTCAGAAATGAGAGAAAAAAGTGAAATAAGGTGTTGTAAAATAAGATTTACTGAGGTTAAGGCCAAGTGATGTTATCTACATGAATGGGCTCCCCAGAGACATACACAGACTAATGGACTAAATGTCAGGCACACTGGTGCGACCATTTAAAATTTTTGGTTGCACTTCACAAATTTTTGCATGAGCAACCAAAATGGTGGCACCCCGTGCCCTTATGGTTTCAGGTGGCCATGCATGTAAAAATGATACTTTATCAGTTTTAACACTTCCTTTGAGAACTGTTACTTTGCTTTAACCCTCTGAACCCCAAGCACTTTCAAGTTGTTTCAGCTTCTGTCACATTCTTGCAATATATTCATTCTATCGTCTGGTAGAATAAACTGTATATACTTCCTACTGGCTCCTTTTGTAAATAT